ACTACTTTTTTGAACATAGAGAAGTTAGAGAGGATAAAGAGATTTTCTGAGGTAAGGTATAATCCCTATAATTCAAACCTGGCCAAGGCCAGGTGTTCTTGCTCTCTCTAATTGAATAGTTGCGATACGGTTAATTGTATAGTTTTGAGCACGAACATGACAAAGGAAACTTCTGAAATTACAAGGGAAGCAACGGAATTAATGAATTTGTTTGATGATCTATAGACCAAAATTGATGCTGACCAGCAATAGCTGCCACCAGATATATCTATCCTTCCCATTTGGCACAATGATGGCTCTTACGTCTCATGCATTTATTTGTTTTGTCTCCTGCTTGAGTCTTCTACGAGAAGGATAACCATAGACGACGATCTTTTTTTGTTAGCTTTCAATACACACACGCCTAAACCATTTTCCAAATTTTGCATGATCGAAGAAAAAAAAAAAAGAAACAAATTAGTGCCAGACTGTCATACTTATTAATATTTTTTTTGAATGGCAAAAAGTAATATTTATTATTAAAAAAATGAAGTACAAGAGGTACTTCAAACCCATTAACATCCCAACTTAAAAGGCATAAATTTACATAAGTCAATTAACCTTTCCATGTGGTGTCAATACCAAAATTGTGTGTCAACACCACATCCGTGTCGGATTCCTGCCATACTTATTAATATCTTCCAGCCTATGAAATTTTCTTTCAGGAAATTTCATAACTTTCCCTCATTGCGTTACATTTTGTCATCATCTTTCGACCAAAACCTTTGTTTCAAAGAATGAATTCAAAGATAAATGAATCATTTCAACTGGCATAACTTTGGAAATTTTAGCCTATATAGAGATAATCATTTTTTTTCTTTTTGGTTGAAGAGAAGTTTTAGATAGGAAATCGGGTTGGTTTTTGGAACGTGTGATAAGGCCTACTTATGCACATACTTTTCTGCAATTCTATTTATATATATATATATATATCAACTAAAGAAAACTTTTTATTTATTGGAATATAAAAGGTATTCCTACCCATACAATAAGTTCACAAAATTGTAATTTTAGCACACAAAAGGGGAAGACCTTCCCAATCCCATAAAGAGACCATACAATGCTTCGATCTATCCTTCACCCACAAAAATGTTTTCACTAGAATTGATACAATTCTAAAAAATTAGTTATTTGGTTCGTGAGTCTCCTTATATTTATTTGCCTAATCCTCATCACATCTCTTCCATGCAGGACATATTACTCTCACAAATGAGCCCTAACATTTTTTTCCATTCGCTAGTTAGTTTTGATTAGTTCTCTCGTGAGTCCCAACAACATGTCGTTCTCCTCCATGCACTTGTGGGAAACTGCCAAAACCCATATGTGGGATCAACAGGGAGAATCTTTGCATATACTTATCCATGGGCTAGAAATCAGATTGGCTGGCAGGAGTTTGAGAATAAGGACCGATACATAAGCTTTAGATTCATTAAATAAAAAACTAATTCTATAAAAGAAAGTAAAAAAAAAAAAAAACAAAAAAACAAAAAGCAACCAAAGAACTCAACATTAATTTTCTGGTTCGGCAATTTGGTGTTTGGTTGGGCATATCACCTAACCAAAATTTTGCTTAATCGGGATTTCAATTAAATTTGACTGAAATCAACTACTAAATTCTCACCCTATTATAGCTATCTTATAAACTCTATTTTCTTCACCTTATTTTTCTTCGATATTTTCAATCCAATCATGAAATAAAAGTATGAGGGTGATAATAATTTAATGGGCAAGTTTTTTTTTTTTTTTTTTTTTGAAAATTTATTGTGCTTTTTTTATTTTTTAGGT